GGAATTGCCACGCCCTTCCTGCAATTTGGCGAGATGATTCGTGCGGATACAAGAGCAAATTGGATCTGGAGGATAGAGTTGAAGCATGACTTTCTTTCCTTCCCCACTTACTTTACTATTCCCGTCGTCTTCCTTTTCCCCTCCCCCTCTTTTTTTTTTTCTCCCCTCTTCTGCACCCACACGTACAGTTATGATTCTGGTGTTTGTTGTCTTATGACCAACACTCACTCACATAGACTTCCAGGTATGCCTATACAGACACAGAAGGAAGGGGGGAGGATAGGAGTATCACACCGTACAGGGAGAGATAAACACAACAGAAGACTTGACCATGCGATATGACAGGGTACACTGAAAGTGCAATTCACTCCACTCAATCCTCACAACCAGTGATAGAGAAAAGTCGAGCAGATCACATCCAGGAAACAATAAAACGATGATAGTCCAAGCCCAGTTATACACTGTTTATTAAACTCAGAGTCTCGAATTGTCAGGATAACTTCAGAACTACAGTGCGCTGCTAAAAAATGAGCAGCGCTTCACTCCCCAACCCTGAGTAACCACCTGTAACACCCCTGAGCCCCTGAAGCATCAAGCGCCACCGTGATACAGCCTCCTGAGAGAAGCGCCACCCTGAAACAGGCCTCTGAGGCCAAGCGCCACTCATAGGATGAAGAAGAAGACCAGCGCCACAGTATCTGATGATGACGAAGTGTTGGAAGACTTCCCGGGTGGAAGTCTGTAGCAGCCCCACCAAACCCTGACAAAATGACCTCTGAGGAAGAAGCTGCAGCTATGGCTGCAGCACCAACACCCTGGAACCCCACTTCGGAGGAGGGTCCAGCAGGGCACCAATCTCTCTCGCCTCCAGCAGACCTCGATAACCAAGACCTCTGTCAGCCCCTGCGTGCTGGCAGAGTACAGCGCAGGTCTCAGCTATGGCCGGCGCTCCGAAGGTCTGGCTATGCCTGTCTCCTTCCACGCTGAGCCGTCACCACTTCCGGTTCACGTGTAGCGCAGCTGCGAAGTGCTCGGTACCAACTGCCAAAAGCCCTGAACTGATGTGCCCATCCTATCTATACTACACTAGCCTAGACTCGACCTAGACCGGACTGACTGACCGACCGGTACTGTTTCTGTTTTGGCCTCTCGGCCCCTACCGGACCCGGCTATAGGCTATAGGACCGTCTATCAGAATAGGCCCTTAGAGGGCCTGTCTGTCCTAGGGGTAGCCCGGGCCTGCTATTCGCAGTTAGGGTAGCTGTAGGGAATTCTGTTAGTACCGGGCCTGTACTTTCCCGGATTTGCAGATATATGTCCCTCACGAATTGCCCTCACAGGTAGGTCTCTCGGTTAGCCCTCAGCCAAACAAAATTGTGAATTTGTCCTACCTATAGTACAGCCTTGACAGAGAGAGGCTACATGCAATTAGAAAACAGCAAGTCATTGCAGATCTACCCTCCCCCGGAGCGAGGACCTCCGAGCTAGGGGCGTAGGCGTGCAGAGCACCGAAGGGATACTCCCTTTTGTGCTGCCTCATATTTGAGGATAACTGACTTGGCAGTATTCAGAAGTTCCTTGCGAGTAAACCAGTGGTCCTCGGTATGTGGCTGGTACAAGAACTTCACAAGGTACTCCTTATCTGGACCTGTACCTCACTCATCCTCCACGGATTCGACGTCATACCCCTTGTCAGGGATATGGGGACCGAATTGAGGAGGCCTGTCAAGGAATGCATCAGTTGGCGTAAATGGCAGCAACTTAGATGCATGAAAGACAGGGTAGGTTTGTAGATGCAGAGGGACATCCACTGTATAGGATGGTCCAAATGGATGGGCTCCCACTGTATCTAAGACCTGCCATGGACCCATATATCGTTGCAACGACTTAGGCGAAATGTCCTCCCCTCGCGACAACTCAGAACTGAGTTCCCACACCCAATCACCTGTGCGAATAGTAGAAGGACGCATGTGCTTGTTAGCCTGCTAAATCATACCCTTTTGGGCTTTCAGCAGGTTGGCACGGACGCGCTCTATGTCCACACGGTAACGCTTGGTGAACTCTGCAGTTTCAGGTGTCAGCGTAGGGGTAGCCTTATCGATGATGTCATCGAGAGGCTATCGTGGTTCACGACCCCAATGCAACCAGTAGGGTGTGAAACCAGTAGAGGAGTGTACAGACGTGTTATACACAAGCTGTGCACGACCCAGATGGAGATCCGAGTCCTGCTGGTCTGGACTGATCACAAGACGCAGCAGTTGGAACAGAATCTGGTTCATCAGTTTAGCCTGTCCATTGGCTTCAAGATGACGACCAGAGGTCATATCCAATCGAGAATGAAGGTAATCCCTGCAATAGGATTGCCATTCATTGCTGCAAAATCGGGGATCTCTGTCACTGACGATAAAGGGGGGTGGTCCATGATGTGTGACCCACCTGTCAGCAATCGCTGCCTAAACGGCTGGCACACGAGCCTCGGCTGGTAAGGGGATGAACTCTGCATATTGGAGAACCGGTCTACACATACCATGACCTGACGCATACCACGCGGAGTAGTCCTACCCAAGTCAGTAAAATCAATAGATACTGACTGTGCAGGAGCATCAGGGATAGGTAGTGGTTTGAGTAGGCCAAGGGGAGGTCGACGTACAACCTTGTTCCTTCGGCATAACTCACAGGTTTCCACATAGTGCAACATGTCACTCCTCATCTCCTTCCAGAAGAAGCGCTGCTACAGGGATGCATAAGATTTGAGGTCGATCTTGCTAAAAATGGTACAACCCTGCACCATGTCCAACTTATCATCAATGCGAGGAAGGGGCTCTATAGACTTCCTCGTGATTTTATTGAGACCACGATAGTCCACGCACATTCTGAACTCACCATTCCCCTTTGGGACAAAGAGGACCGGTGCCCCAAACGCAGATGTGTTGGGCCTGATCCAGCCCTTGCTGGTCAAGGTCTCCAACTGTTTCCTGAGCTCTTCAAGTTCAGCAGGGGACATCCTGTAGACTCGGCTCTTGGGAGGGACCGAACCAAGCAGGATCTCAATCTGATGTTTAGTCTGCCTATGGACAAGTCCAATAGGTTCCTCCATAAGATCAGAGAAACTGTCTACAACCTGCTGAATCTGAGAGGGATAGAGAGCAGTCTCCACGTCAGTCTGCTTGACATAAGCCACGAACAAACGGGCGTGGTGAGTCTGGCGTGAAATCACAGAAATCTGCGAGCACTCATGCAATGACAGTTGCTGGCCGGATGGTACTCGTTAGCGAGCATGCAAGGGCGATATACCCCGTGCCGGTCAGGTAGCTCAACCCTGGGGATCCCCAAGTTGATCCTAGGGTTGGTGGCACCAAGCCACTGCATAGAGAAGACAAGGTCAAATGGGACATTAGGAAACCTGTAGAAATTCAGGCGATGCCTGATTTCTCCCTGCTTGTCAAAGGACACAGGTAGGCCCTTGACAACAGTAGTGATCCTGACTGTGGAGGAGTCTCCAATGCGTACCTCTATAGGCTGTCGCAATTTCACCAACCTCTGATCCAAGTGCAACTTGCTGACTGCCTTGGGAGAGATTAAGTTGCGAGTAGCCTCACAGTCTAAGAGCCCTTTGATCTTGGCTCCCAGGATATAGGGTTGAAGTAGGATGAGCTCTGACTTATGCTTCTTCTTCTCCTGCAAGGAGAGGAAAAGATCAGCAAGACACTGGGCATCATCCTCCTCCCACGTCTCATCCAACTCAGAGTCTTCAAAAGTGAAAGACCCTAGCAATGCAACTTCAACAACAGAAGAACTAGCAAGAGATTGTGAAGATTCACCTTCATCAGAAAGTGAATCAGCACTGGTGGAAGGAGCTGCTGCTTCCACCTCTCTCTGTTCTGGTTTTTTGAACTAGAGTTGCCTGTAGACCTGCGAGGCATGCTGGGACAGTCCTTCAGGAAGTGGTCCCCCTCGCATCTCAGGCAGACTCCCTTCTCCTTCCTCTTCCTCCAAACTCCCTCCTGGATCTTGAGTGCATGCCAGGGGAAGGTGGAAGGATCAAGTGGATCAGCTGGCTAGCGGACGTCACGTGGTAGGGGTACTCTCTGGGCCCCAGGGGAAGAGGCACGTCCCTTTCCTTTCCCCTGTTTGCTGGTTGATACTTGTTGGGCAGGGGGTTTGCCCTTTGTCAGGCCCATCAAAGCATCAGCCAGGGCAAGAACAACGGAGTCTGCAGCAGATGGTGAGGCAGTCCCAAGTGGAGGGCTCCCACCCTGGGATGCTGCGTCACTATCTGAACCAGAGCTGCAGCAGCAAACAGGGCACCCTTCCTCCTCCTTCGCCCTTTGGAGGAGGGTCCCTTCCTTCCTTCAGAAGGTGCTTCCTGGACATGGAGTTTGGACTCCAAGTCCAGGGCTGCTCTGCCAAAGGACCGCCAGTCCGTATGGCCCTCAGAGAACAGTGCAATCTAGTATTGCTCAGTAGCTCCCCGTAAGAAATGAATGAGCAGATCCTGCTCACTCATCTCTAACCCTGGAGTCGATGTCAGACTCTCAAAAAGGCGGAATAGAGTTTGGACAAGGAGCCATCAAATTTCTCTTGGCCCAGGCGCAAAATTTTATCTGCTGCTTTCTTGGCCTGCTCCTTGTCTGCAAACCTATCCTGTAGGGCCTGCAGAAAACCAGCCACCCCCAACCTCTGCGCCCAATCAGCCATCTCCATTCCTTGCTTGTTGGAGGTGGAAGTGCACCATTTCAATGCAGTCCGCTCCAAACGAGCAAGGATGGCAGACACCTTCACATCCTCATCACATTTGAACCCACTCAGGTAGGTTCGTTGAGCAGTGACCCAATCTGCTTCATCCACCTTTGGGTCCTCGCCAGAGAACATAGGTGGGGGTGTCAGCTTGGGCCGCTGCGGAGCAAATGAGAGTGAAGGTTGAGAAGTTGCGGTTGATGTGGGTGGAGGTGGAGATGTAGGTCTGGATTGTGGGGTTGATGTGGGTCTTCCTTGAGAAGGTCCAGGAGAGGGAGGAGCAGGGGAAGTGCTAGGGATCTTGAGGTGAGTAAAGATCAGATCCAGTTTGGCATAAATGTCATCCAACTTCTTGGAAGAAGTTGAGTGGCTATTCTCCAGACCGGTAATTCGATCATCCCAGTTAGTAAAATAAGAACGGTGAATATCATCCTGCAAGAGGATGAATTCAGCCATGTCCTTGTTGCAATGACTGGAACTACCACTTGTCCTGACCTTCTCCACATCTGCGATCAAAAGTATTCTCCTAGCCTCCTTCTGAGTTGCTTCTTCCTTCTTCTTCAGCTCAGCCTTTAGAGACTCAACTGCCTGGACCTCTTGGCGGAGTTTCTCCTCCTGGGCCCGCAGTTCAGCCTCTAAATCGGTGTCTCAGGCTGTACTGTGATCTTGAGATGTACCTGAGGCTTCTCGTCAGAAGCCTCAGCCTTCTGAGACACTGCTGCCTTCCCAGAATCAACCATTTTACACACCCACAATACAGATAAATAAAAATACAATAAACAATAACCAGAGACGAAGCAGGAGGTAACAAGAATTGAGTTTTCTCTTTAGTACTCCCTCAGTTGTTGTCACCTGCCTGGAGAGAGAAGATTGGTTAGTTTGAGCAAGTGAGTGCTCAGTCTCAGCAGAGCACTTGAGGGTCGAAGTCAGTTTAGAGTCCACTCAAGCAAAAATCAATTGCCCTGACACAACAATTGCATGCAATAATTGCAAATCCCGCTTCAACAATTGACAAGACGCAGTTTTGGATTGATTATTATTGATTAGTAATTAGACAGAGTGACTAATTAGGGTCAGACAGGTATCCACTGATGGCCAAGATACAGCGATTTACAGGTTACCCTATTTTTAGACCTATCCTACATACCTCACCACTGTATGACCCTGTATGCCATACCCTGGGCATGGCGAACTACAACTTTTACTGTAACTGACTCAAAACATCAAATCTGGATGTGGGATTTCAGACACTGACTGAATCCTGAATTGCGATTTACCAGGGACTGATAGAATTGAATTCTGGCGGACAGAATCAAAGTTATGACTGACCCTAGTCTAGCCTAGCTTTAGCTATGTCAGCGCAGAATTCAAATTTGCATTATCACTGAAGACAGGACCCTGAACTCACCAATTCACTACACAGTGTCAATCGTAATACTGTAAAGCAGTCACATATGAAATATGAGTCAGAAAGAAGGTCAAACAGGGTTAGTAGAAGTCAAAGAAGATTGGTAGGGGAAGTTGGATATGGCTGTCCCACAGTCTGAATTTCGATTTTCAACTATCACCTGACAGACAGCCCTAGAATCGCCACACAGGATGGAGTATGGAACACACTTACTTCAGGGTCAACTCTAAAAGAAGATGCATGGAACCTTGGCTATGGCTGACTGGTCAACCCCATATTGCCAGTTTCATCTCCGGACAGTATCCACTGTTCCCACGTACCAAATTGCCTCAAACTTGGTGATCCCGTAGATTACCCTGAGGTGCTTCACCCCCAACTGACAGATTTAGAGCAATCGAACTCCCAGGTGCCAATAACTGTCAAAGTCAGTGCAGCACCACATCACCCTGTACTGCGCTGCTTGGAAATTGGGGATCCTGACCCAATTCCATAATCGCAATCTCCTGGGATCACTTCTTTGCCAATCGCCAGCCTCCGGATGAATCGCCAGGCAAAATTTAGCCCCTCATAGCCTCTCAGGCCTTTGGTGGCCATTGCCAACCACTCCTGCACAACCCTCGCCAGGAGTGAGTCACTCTCTGCCCATTTCTTCTCGCCACACACTCACCACCACCACCCTTACTGACAACAACCCTGAAGATGATGAATCACCATGAAACTGAACTCCAGTATCTCGCCAGATGATGATGGGTGCTCCAACTCATGAATCGCTTCCAGAGTCTGAATCCAATTGTTCTAATACCAACTTTTATGATTCTGGTTCTTTGTTGTCTGATGACCAACACTCGCTCACATAGACTTCCAGGTATGCCCATACATACACAGAAGGAAGGGGGGAGGATAGGAGTATCACACCGCACAGGGAGAGAGAAACACAACGGAAGACTTGACCATGCGATATGACAGGGTACACTGAAAGTGCAATTCACTCCACTCAATCCTCACAACCAGTCCTCGAGAAAAGCCGAGCAGATCACATCTAGGAAACAATAAAACGATGATAGTCCAAACCCAGTTATACACTGTTTATTAAACTCAGAGTCTCGAATTGTCAGGATAACTTCAGAACTACAGTGCGCTGCTAAAAAATGAGCAGCGCTTCACTCCCCAACCCTGAGTAACCANTTAAACTCAGAGTCTCGAATTGTCAGGATAACTTCAGAACTACAGTGCGCTGCTAAAAAATGAGCAGCGCTTCACTCCCCAACCCTGAGTAACCATTTGTAACACCCCTGAGCCCCTGAAGCATCAAGCGCCACCCTGATAAAGCCTCCTGAGGGAAGCGCCACCCTGAAACAGGCCGCTGAGGCCAAGCGCCACTCAGAGGATGAAGAAGAAGACCAGCGCCACAGTATCTGATGATGACGAAGTGTYGGAAGACTTCCCGGGTGGAAGTCTGCAGCAGCCCCACCAAACCCTGACAAGATGACCTCTGATGAAGAAGCTGCAGCTATGGCTGCAGCACCAACACCCTGGAACCCCACTCCGGAGGAGGGTCCAGCAGGGCACCAATCTCTCTCGCATCCAGCAGACCTCGATAACCAAGACCTCTGTCAGCCCCTGCGTGCTGGCAGAGTACAGCGCAGGTCCCAGCTATGGCCGGCGCTCCGAAGGTCTGGCTATGCGTGTCTCCTTCCACGCTGAGCCTTCCAGTTCACGCGTAACGCAGCCGCGAAGTACTCGGTACCAACTGCCAAGAGCCCTGAACCGATGTGCCCATCCTATCTATACTACACTAGCCTAGACTCGACCTAGACCGGACTGACTGACCGACCGGTACCGTTTCTGTTTTGGCCTCTCGGCCCCTACCGGACCCGGCTATAGGCTATACAACCGTCTAGCAGAATAGGCCCTTAGAGGGCCTGTCTGTCCTAGGGTAGCCCGGGCCTGCTATTCACAGTTAGGGTAGCGGTAGGGAATCCTGTTAGTACTGGGCCTGTATTTTCCCGGATTTGCAGATATGTCCCTCACGAATTGCCCTCACGGGTAGGTCTCTCGGTTAGCCCTCAGCCAAACAAAATTGCGAATCTGTCCTACCTATAGTACAGCCTTGACAGAGAGAGGCTACAGGCAACCAGAAAACAGCAAGTCGTTGCATCTGGAGGATAGAGCTGAAGCAGGACTTTCTCTCCTTCCCGACTTACTTTACTATTCCCTTCGTCTTCCTTTTCCCCTCCCCCTCTTTTTTTTTCTTTCCCCCTCTTCTGCACCCACACGTGCGGTTCATTGCGTCGGAGTTTTTTTTTATAAATATAATTGAGTGATATTCTCCTCTCTTAAGAGTGTGGTGCAATCAATTCCCGCCACCGCCTATTTGCATCATCTCCCTGGTCTGTGTGCAATCCCTGGTCGTTCTGTTTCAAAGAAAGGGAGCGGGTTTCTTTTCTTTTTTTTGCTCTTCCTATTGTGGAGTTTATTTGTTGGCAATGATTTACGAAAATATCTATGAGAAATTCTTTGTGGGAATGGTTTGCTAAGAAGGGCTATAGATTAGAATTGGATGCATGTGTATACGTCATTGGGTCTGTCAGTGAAAAATAGGGTGTCATCTTTGTTTGGGGTTATTATCGAAATGACTGCTCCTCCGCTGAAAAAAAAAATGGCGGCGCCACCCACCCCCCTCACTTTGTCTTGCTGCTTTTGCATATTTGGCTGCTTTCACATTTACGGCTCTTTAAGTACCCTCACCACAAATGGACACAGAATATGGTTTTACCCTGCCGCGTTGAAAAATCACCTCCGCAACTTGCGCCTTGCTCACAGTGTGCCGACGTTGCTGGTCGGAGCAGCTCGAGTATGACATGTTGTACTCATGCATGACTCATGTGACACACACATGCCACACACTTAGGAGGGTGAGTTCCCTCAGTCGCTGTTGGGGGGTGTCCCTCCTGGCCATGTTGTGATGCCAAGGACCAGGGTGTTGTAGAGGCCAAGGACCAGACCCGCGGTAATTGCTTGGCGTTCCTTATAGTTGTGGCTATAGAGTATGCCGAGGTCGTCTGAACGATGGTGACGGAATGGCTGTGGAAATTGTTGACAATAAAAAGGCTTAAAAAAGCAAAGTCTGGTAAAGATGACAAAGTTTTTTTGGGGACAGCTGGTGGGGGAATGCCTTGACAACTCTCTGCCATCTCTGCTTGTGGTTGTGCCTCCGTCCTTCCTTTCTTTCTCATTGCTGCCTCCATACCCCACTCCTCCTTCCCCCCCTCCCCCCCGTCCTTCCACTCATGTTTTTCTTCATCATCGGCCATTCTCTTACTTCGCCCTTGCCAGATTTTTTTGTCTTTCCATGATCCCTTGTTCTTCTCCCTTTTATGGACCTGCTTACCCTTTTATCCATGGGAATCCATTCCTTCTTTTTCCTTCTTTCCTTTTTTTTCCTTTCTTTTTTTCTTTCTTCTTCTTTTTTTTTTTTCTCTTTTTTTTTCTTTTTCTTTTTTCTTCCTTTTTTTTCCCTTTTTCTCCCTTTTCCCCTTCCCCCTTTTTTTCTGCGTTACCCGACAGCGACCCACCAAAGAATTGTTCCTAGGGGGATGGTGGAACGAGATCACACACCGCTTTCCCTGGTTGGGAGACTGCGCTTGGCCAGCAAAACCTACACAAGCACTGATTGCCTTCGTCAACCCGGGAGTCATTGGCGCAATCAAGGGAGCTTGGGATACTGGGCACTTTCCTCATTTTTTTCAAATGCTTGGTTTCAGTGACGTTGCCGTTCTTGCCAGAGCATGGGATGATGATGAAATTAGGGTCGTGTGCGAGAAGCTCGAATTGAGGAAGCGGAAATATACGAGGCAATGCAAGGAACTCGGGGGTAGGTCTGCCAAGGTTGAACAGATCTTCCTCAAAATCTGGGAATTGGATGACTCCCACCTAGAGGGATGGGTTCTCGAAACTTGGATGGGCAATTCCCCTGCTATGCTAAACAACTCGACTGCACGATGCAACAATCTTGGAGTGGAGGACGAGGAGAGGGATGCCATCACAAACACCATCCAGGATTTCCCCCCCACTTCCAGTAGGAAAGGAGGGGATGCTGCAGAATGCGATCAGTTCACAGCACTCGCGCCGCTCGCTTTTGCATATTGGGTTGAGCACACTTCCACTGGTTTCCGGCATGCGATTTGGAAGATGGACACCTTCAACCATCTTGCACCACTCTCCATCAGGGAGCTCCAGTTTCTGGGGAGCGTCACTGATACACAGGTGAGAGAATGCAGGGCACAGGTACTGAAAGCGAAGTTGTACTCAGGGAGGGTTAATCCGTTGGACCCTTGCCTTCCGCAGCCTTCCGCAGCCTTCCGCAGCCTTCCGCATCCTCTTCCCACTCACCAGCTAGGATTTTTATTTCATCCTCCTCGCTAAAAAGTGTCTCTCGGCGTTCGCGTCTTTTCTCATCTGCATGTCTCTTTACTGCGTCATCGTCGGCCTGTTGTTGTTGTTCAGCGAGACGACGCTGTTGTTCTGCCTCCTCCTGCTGTTTCCTCGCGGCAATGGCCACATGTGCCCTCTTCTTCCGTTCTGCTAGTTGATCCAACATGCAGGCCTCGGAGGTCTCCGCAGTTTTCCCTTGCATATGCTCCATGTCGCCCGTCTGTGATCGGGAGACTGCTGGCATCTGCTGCAGAATCGGGTGGCACTAGCTGCTGCTGACGGGGCATGGATGTCTGCTGACGTGTCGCTGATGTGGTCTGCTGATGTGGCCTGCTGACGTGGCACCGTGCTGATGTGGCAACTTACCAATGCTGCAGTAGTAGAGGAGATAAGGAAGAAGAAGACCAGCAGAGTAGATGGGTTGGGTGGGAGAGGGGAAAGTGGGAATGTACTAGCACTTCCCCACCCCACGGGGTCACATTGATCGCCCAGATAAGGAGCCACTAATCAAGTTTGAAAAGTTTGAACTTGCTTAAATAATAATAATTTCGAAAAACAAAAATCGAAATTGCAAGTTCGGTAGGTCTCCAAATCCGCTAAATCCGGAAATTGAAATAATTAAAAAAACTGTTCGAATTTCAGACTGCAGATGATCAGACAAACGAATAAAAAAGTTAAAAAAACATAATTGAACTGCAAATTTTCTTTTTTGCAAGGTCAGGTAATTCCGAATTTAGAAAAAACAAAATTCCTAGGCTGTTTCTCCTGACACGCGGGCACCCAACTTATGCCCGGGTACCCGCCCGGTTGCCCGGCCGGGCGTGACACCCGGGCAGGATTTCGGGGAGCCCCAGCGCAATTTAAAAAAAAAAAAAGAAAATAAAAAAATTCCGGGAAAAAGATATGTTGTGTAGAATTGCAGTACAAACGACTTTTGGCTGAGTGCAAGGAACATGAGCGAGAGTGATGGACAGATTGCAAAATCACGAAGGAGCCAGATAGTCGTGTACCAAGCAGAGAGCACAATGCACCAAAGATACCATCCAAATAAGAGCAATACAACGCACTCGTGTGCCAATGTTGATGTTCTCTGGTCACACTAACACAGTATCCAATGCCGCTCCTACCGTCTGGCGCCCAGCACCCAGCCTACACTACTTAGCCTATCTATGCTTATCTACGCTCATGCAACTGGATCACATCGAAGTCGAAGACCAATGTACGTGATGTCATAACCAATGCAGACCGCCAACATACACCAGGTACGTTCTCTCTCCTCTCACATCAACCTTGACTTCCCCACTGTGTGCATCCCCAACACCCAAGGACCACCATCGCCATCCAGACCTGCGCCCAACAGCCCGGCTATGGCTGCCGTGCGCCCACTGCCCAGCTGAGCACCTCACACCCCAGTGCCTGTGCGCTCGACCCAGCCAGCAACTTCGTGCAGACCACGAAGTTGCAACGCAGCAGCGTGGCCGCATTGCCTGCCTAGGCCGGAACCCCCCTGGCTGCCAAGCTCACTTTCCTATATGGGAAGTGAGCTCTGCTTGTCGAGCTCTGGGCCTGGCTGGACGAGTTTCCAGTAGCTTCCAGTCGGGCCTCAATCTGTGATCTCATTGGCTCATGGCCACTATGTGCCGACAATGATGCAATCTCATTGGTCCGTGGCTGTTGTATGATGTGTCGGCCTCTGACAGCACACGCCCAGGGCCTTACTGTACAGGGCCCGGGGCTCAACCGCCTGTCGCGGCTGCAACTTCCGGAAGAGCCTGGAGAGGCTCACGTTGCTCTGTAACCAACTGGCGTGCTGCAACTGTCTGATACCCCTCATGCAGATTTGACAAAAATAGGCCTCTTGTAAATATTATGGCCCGCCTTCACTTAGGGCGGGCACAAGTCTGTACGGGGCCTCAGCTGAGATGTGGGGTGAGCCCTAGAAGGGCTACTGCGAAGATTCATGCCGGCATATAGATTCCAACGGCCCCTGTAGCGTGATTGCACTGGCCTGTACCCAGGCCTTGGCACATATTGGCATGCCCGCCTTCACTTAGGGCGGGTAAGGCCTTTTCCAGCACTGCCAAGGGCTCGAATCTTCGCATGAGGATGGCATTCGAATTCCTCACAAAATCGGAGATAAAAAAGAAAATAACAGAGTTACACTAAGGCACCCCCCTTGAAACCCCTTTAGCCCCTTTAAAACCAATTTATACCCCCTTCCCCCCTCCTTGGAAGCCAACTCACAGAAAAAGAAATGAGCCCGTATTTTGGGTCCTTCGGTAGAGTGCAGAAAAGCAAAAAACAGAAAAATCGTTTTTTTGTGCTTTGCACGCCCGGTAACCCGGGGCGTCACCGGGCATGAAAATCTTCCTAGCAAAATTTGGAATAATTCAGATGAGAGTATGCTAAGTGAATTTCGATTTTGGAAAAGAGAATCCCAAAACTCAGCTGCAAAGAGAGATTTTTCGAGGAAAATAAAATTTTGGAATACAAGAGCAACCAGAAATTTGAATTTCGGAAGAATAAAAGAATCTCGAAATTTTCAGCTACTAATTAATGTGCGATGAACGAGCCCTCACAGGGGCCCTTATCAGGCAAACACCTGTTCTGGCCAGAGCCCCCCAGCAAGCCGAGTGCCCGCCCTAAGCAAAGGCGGGCCTGTGTATTCGGGCTGTTGCAGCCCGCCGGTTGGTTGAGTGGACTCGTGAGCCTCTCTAAGCTGCGATGTACAATTGGCCCAGGCCTTGGCAGTTGCGCCTGGGCACAATCACACAAAGCAGGGCCGATACATCATGAAGTAGCCACAGGCCTATGAAAAAGCAGTACTGTCGACGTACCTACCCCGGTGTCCACTGCAAATGCAGCAATCGGCCCAAGTTCGGAGACTGAGGCCGTGTCCAACTGTAAAGGGCCCAGGCGCTCAACTGTAGTCTCGGTCCTGGGCCCAGGAACTGGGGCCCAACAGGAAGCTACTGGAAGCTTCCAGCCAGGCCACACACAGCAATGCAGGGGCTGCCACGTCCATATAGGAAGGAGAGCAGCCAAGGCCTGGACATTCTGGCCCACGCCGACAATGTGGTCATGCTGCTGCGTTGCTGCGCGGGACACGGCATGCTGCGCTGCGGCCAGGGCGTGTGCGGGCGCGTGAGTGGTGAAGCGGGGCGCTGGCAGCCATAGCCGGGCTGCTGGGCGCTAGGGGGTAAGGTGGGCGATCGATGGTCTTCAGGAAGCAGGCACATGTGGGTGGACAGGGTCTGATGAGGGGAAGCGAGATACGTACCTGGTACATGGAAGGGGTCAGCTATGGTGTTGACGTCATATACATTGGTCTTCGAGAGCCAAAGTGAGCCTGTTGCGAGATTGTTGATGTAGGTAGGATAGTCAGGTAGTGTAGGCTTGGTGCTGGGCGTCACACAGCGAGGAGCGACTTTGGATACTGTTTGGTGTGGCCGGAGGGCTTGAACATTGGCTCATTGCTTCATTGTATTGCTCTTATTTGGATGGGATCTCGGTGCATTTGTGCTCTCTGCTTGTACACGACTACCTGGACATCTGTGTGATTTCGCAACTTGGTTTTCTGTATACCGTTCTCACTCATATTCCTTGCAATTTGGTATCGGAGCTGGTTCGTGATCACTGCTTACCTGGCGCTGGCGACATTGTCACTTGGTGCACTGACGATGCTTCATGTGCAGCAAGGATACTTCGGTGCTGGCTTGATAGAGCGGGGCCCAGGTAGAAAGGCCGACCGTTGGAAGGTTGTGGCGACAGTGTGGGAGCTGTGGTGACAGCGGATGTATGTATGATGATGAGAGCATGCTGATGTGGCATTTTGGTGGCACTGGATCGCGTTGTGGGTGGTACCAAGGCTATGACCGGTCATCAAAATGCACGTCGGCTCAATTGGTGAGAAATCTGTGGTTGGGGGCAGCTATCTCCAGGTACGTTGTTCCCATTCCTTATCTACCCTCTCAATTTTTTCTTACCGCGAGGAAGTGAGTCCAACCTTGAGTGTCCTCTCTTTTGTGTGAGGAGTTGTGTGCGCTCTACCTTGAGAGACGACATTCTTCCCGGTGGCGCATCTGGCAGGAGAGGGTGGTTCCTCTGAAGGGCCCTGGTCGAAGCACGGGCCACGGTCACCATGCCAACCCATGGGAGTAGTACACGCAGGCCATGCTGCTTTGTCCTTTGAGGCTCTTTGCTGCGCTGATAGAAGGGGTGTGCAGACTGACCAATCCTGTGCAGATGCTCCCAGACCGTCTATACATATTTCTGGTTGGGGTCTGAACTGTCCACTGGCTGTGATCGTTGTCCTGATTGCGACGTTAAACAATTCCTGAGGACTCTTGGGGGCTCTTGATCAGGCAGATCAGTCAGACGTAAGGCTCGTTGCACGCGAGGATAAAGAACGGGCAGCTCTGGTCATAAGCATATCTCTTGGGCACAGGGGTGGGCTGCTAATGCACACCTTAGCAGAGCTCGCAAACTCCTACTTTTCCTACAGCCACGCCCGGCCCATATTGGACATCCATAATATTTGGCAGCCGTAGCCAGCCAAAACTGCTGTTTAAAAATCCTCACAACCTGGCCCAGCCGCAGCTGCGCCCGATTTGAGCGTACAAACCCGGGCCCGCCTGCGCCCAGGCCTTGTTGAAGAGTTGCAACCAGACCTGCCCAGACCCAGACATTCTTTTCACCACTTACCCCCACCCTGACCCTCAAACATAATCCCACCACCAGAGAGAGAGAGAGAGAGAGAGAGAGAGAGAGAGAGAGAAAGAGAGAGAGAGAGAGAGATGGTGGGAATGCAGCAGCGGCGACCTCGGGGCTGT